CCAAACCATCACGGAACCTCCTTCATGTTTCACCGTTGGTACCTCACCAGGCGTTCCGGATTGTAGGCTTCGTTGAGTCTTCTCCAACGTAAACTCTTCCTGGTGTAGGGAACAGTGAAGGACGATTCACCTGACCAAATCACGCGCGCCATTCCAGTTGTCTGATGTCCAGGTTTTATGGGTGTGACACCATCATTTGCACATCTGAGCATTCCTCTCAGTAATCAGAGGTTAAGCAACTTCAGCCATACCGTGGATGCTGGATTTGTACGTCGTACAGTTTTTTCTGGAAACACGGTCGTTAAGATGAATACGTGTGTTCAGTTCTGCCATCGCCTATGTTGCAGTAGTTATGTGATTTCACGAAACAGTTCTTCTCAGTGTACGATGATCGCTTTCTGTCAGTGTTGATTTTCGCCCGCTGTTCCTCTTCGCAGATGTTGTCTTCCCATGATTCGTATATGCCGACATAACGTAAGAAACTGTCGCTCTCGATACACCTAATAATATAGCAGGTTTTATCAAATGCACCAGCGAAACATGCACCAACGATCTGTCCTCTCTCAAAATCGGACAGTTCTCCCATTTTCCAATTCTTTCACATGGGCTGCCCCTCAACACAATTACTAATGCACTGACACGAGCACTACAGAGTGTAAACAAACGGAAGAGCATTCAGTGTTGCCAACTGAAGTTCTTTGAATGTAACCAAAACAAATTCTACCAATTTCCCGGCATAAAATTAATGGTTTAACGTTCATTTCGGTTCATTTCCTTTATATGAATAATGGTTAAGAAAATATAGCCTTCCAAAAGTACGGAGTGACTTTCCAAAAACTCTGTATGGAACCATAATACCCAGAGACAGATGTTATGTTAATATAGAGTTCGTGTATCCGCCCATATCTGCACTATGCTTCGTCTTTACACTGTAGGCACATATGATTGTATACGTGACTTGTGTGGCCATTTCTGTTTAAAGCTTGTGCCAAAAACGATAACAGCTCCCAGCTATCTTACGTCCAAATAGCAATGAATGTAACGGGTGTGGGCATCCAGGGAATAAATTTGTGTGTGGGAGTTCTTGGTTGGTTAGCTGGTGAAAATACAGTATTTGTCGCCGTTTATGAAACCCAAAGTTTCATTAGCGTGTTCACAGGAGCTGTCCGTTTTACACTGTCATGAGCCAGTTGAATCAAGTCCATTATCACATACCATATTTCCTTAAGATCCATGTTGATGTTATTGTAAAACTTAGAGGAAGAGCCCGTTTGGGAGGCTGTCTCGCAAGTGCGTTCTCCTCTAAGTTTCACGACCGAAATGTATTCATTTCTCACCTCGTGATTGCTGTATGTCTGGCTATTTCATTCTGGAGTAAATCACTCTCCGTGGTCTTAGTCCGCAAGCGAACTATACCGACCGAGCGACCGCCGCTTGTCGGCGAAGTTAGTGCCAACTTTAGTGGATAGAGGGTGTCACGTGGTCATCGCAACGGATCCCCACGGCCGTTAATCTCTGTTTTCAAGACCGGAGCCGCTGTTTCCTTGAAATAGCTCCTCAATTATCCCCATGAGACTGAGTCGACCCCGTTCCAGACTCACTACTCAGGAAATCTGGTAGCGTCCGGGAATCGAACCCGGACCTCTTGATCTATAGTCAGGAACTCTGACCACTAGACCATAGAGAGGGTCGGATTAAATCACACGTATAACATTTAGTACAGGTCACAAATTATGAAGCCTTCAATTCTGGGGATGGGGGTTGTCCTTCAACTTAAGTCCACATATTCTCCTCGGTAACCTGTTCTCAGACGCCTTCAATCTGTGTTTCTCTCTGGATTGCAGACCAAGTTCCACATACGTACGTGTACAAAGCAGGTAAAAGTATACCGCTTTCTGCTTTAATCTCCGTGTTTTCAGATACACGATGGAAATGGGAAAGGTTAGGACCCGAGTGGGTCCAGAGTGGAGTCTGCTGCTAGGCCTGACTTCTTCATGAATCGTAATTTAGGTCTGTGCAGGTGCGTGTTCCCGAAATTTGAACTATGTAGACGAAAGTAAGAAACGGGCGTTCTGTTGCCTGCGGATGTGTTGCCCCTACGTTCATTCCTCTTCCCCTCCACCGACATGATGGAATGCAACACGGGTTGCATATTAAACACAGTCAGACTTTACAGTGCGGGGATGTTTCGGGCTTGAATTTTTTTTTCATCCTTTAAAGAGAAAATTGAAAAGTTAATAAGCCCTTATGCAGTTAACCAGGGCAGGCGCGGCAGCACAGATGAAATAAGTGGCTGCTTCGGACGGCATGTTTAAAAATTAATTTTTGCTTATCTGTTGTTCTTGTCATGTCCATTCATTGATAATAATTTAAGAAGGTTGTATAACAATGTTTGAAGAATAGAGAAGACTGGAGGCAGATTGTTAGGAGGCCAAAGCTCACCCTGAGCTGTAGCGCCGAGGGGAAGGAAGGATATAAACAATAGAAATATGACTGTTTCAATTTCAAGTAAATTACATGAGTTATATTGGAACATCTGCATCAAAACAGTACAATTTAAAAGTGAATATGGTCAGGTTAACTATTTTCTTGAAAATCCCAGGTTTAAGCATTTATAACATGACCCACCCCCAAGCCGTTGCATACAGCGTATTATTTTTCTGGTGTTCGTATGATCCGATATTTATATTCATTATTGTAAAAAAAATCAATAAACCCTTCGAATTCGAATCCAGTAAATTAAAACACACGAACCTGAAACTGTTTGCTTTTAGTGTCATAGACAGTGTGCAAGCGTGCACATTGGCGGAAGTGTCCGAAACCCTTCCTATCAAGTCGGACCGATCCATAATGTTTAGTTCGAAATCTTACTGTATTTGTGCCCACTGGCGGGATGCTGCCGCCCACAGTCCCTCGTGGTGCACGTGGGCAGTGCCAGAAATAGTTCGCTCCTGTATTGCCCTCGTGCCAAGTCGCTAATTTTACGCGCGGCCCGACTTCACGGCTGCTTTTGATTTGTGGACATGTTTTGATCCTTCTCATAGCGCTATCTGCTGGTCAATGTACACAGAGCCAGTCCCTTCCCCGCCTCCGAACCCCAAAGCTAGGTTTGTTGACAACATGGAAATGTGGGTGTTGTTTTCGGTTGTCTGTTACTGTTGTCCATGAAGGATTTTTTTTTTGCATATAACGGCATAACATTGCAAATTTTCCTTCGCTTCAAGAGGACCTGATAAGATCATAGAGTACTTTTATTACAGCAAATAAAATGTCAATTGTCGTAATTAAATAGCGATAAAGTAAAAAGTCTCGGTAGCTGTGCAGTCTAAAACACGACTCAAGCACAGGGTCCACGGAGGGAATGGTTATATGTCGGCTTCTGTGTTCCTTCTGATCAACCAGGGGGACACACTGCATCTCTGAATTAGGGTTCAGGAAATTTTGCCTTATTGCCCCCCAAAGTGGGCGATGAATCTATTAAAATAGGTTAGTCAGTCTCTAATCTTATTACGAAAATGTTCAAAAAACCTCGGAGACCACTGGTAAGACCAAGGCGTAGGTGGGTGGGCAATATTAAAATGGATCGCATTGAGACAGAATGGGATGGAATGGATTGATCTGGCTCAGGATACGGACCACTGGAGGGCTCTTGTGAACATGGTAATGAACCTCTGGGTTCCATAAAATGCTGGGAAGTTCTTGAGTAGTTGCACAATTGGCATCTTCTCAAGAAGGGCTCAGCTCCATGAGTGAATAGCCAGTCTGTAATTCCTCTCAATTCACAGCAGGCTTATCTCTAAGTTGAGATAATGATTATTATGCAGTTCTTCCACAATGAGAACAGTTTCATAGTCTGTGTTAGAGAAGCAGTTGTTAGGATGAGCCAGTCAATGAGGATCAGATGTGTAGGCATGATGGAGTTAAGAAATGCCTGCAGAATTTTAGTCATTACCTGAAGGGGACAACTTGGGAGACCTAGGAATAAATGGGAGAGTGATATTAAAATATATGAAGAGGATGTGGTTGCAGGCTGATTTCATTTGGCTGAGGATAGGGTCCGCTGGTGGGTTCCGCAGATGCGAAGAATATTTGCTTTCCATAAAGGTTGGCGAATTTCTTGACTGGCTGTTATGTGACTAATGGCTTAGAAATATTTTAAGGCTTTCCAGTTCTCATGTACAACAAGCAAGAAGCTTGTCTGTGGCAGATAGTGAAGTGCCTCTGGTGTTAAGGATAGAACTTTGAGTCAGTGGATGAAAATAACTTACACTTGATCACAATTGAACACAGGGACTTGGTAATCAATAAAACATTTTACGTGGTTAAATCAATAGATTCATCTTGGAACTGCATAAGTAACCAACCACAAGAGAATTCCATTTGAGCCTTGGCAGAGTACAAAATGGTCATTTGATGCAGCAGAATTTCATCTTTTTGTGCTTACAAATGGCTCCCGTTCATGCATTCTTTTCATAGATCATATAAAAATAAAGCATCCTGGGGAAAAAAAAAAGCCTGTCCATCTGTTCACATATTCAATTTGCCAGACCACTCAGTCAAGTTGGATGTAACATGTTAGGAATCTCAACTGTAAAATTGTTGAGAAGTTTTTTTTGTCCCTGATTTTAATCATTAACGAAATATTATTAGGATCAATTAAAGGAGATTGATGGACAGAATGCGTAGCATGATGATAATGCATAGCTTTCATCAGAAAACCACAAGGAAAGAGATTGCTTAGAAGAACTAGAAGAAAATGAGAGGACAGTATAGAAATGAATCATAAAAAAATAAGCTGGGGAAATGTTGACTCGATTCTTGTGAACACAGTAAATAGTCGGGGTCCATAAGGTGCGGAATTTCTGTATCAGTAATCATGAACCAGGGCTAGCCATCTTCAAGACTACTGCCTTAGTCTTGAGATTTCTGATATTCGATTTTGCATGTCTGTGCCATGATACAGTTGACATGAGTAATATCTAACGAGACTGTTGTTTCAGGTATGGTTGTCAACCCTGTACGGCCCAAGTATCGTTGTCTGACTTAAGGATGCCGCTTATCTGGAGGGACACAGATCACTTCAAGAATAAGGGTGATTACCGCCGCTTTGCAGTCTTCTGTCTAGTACGAATTGGGACTGAGATTTATGACACAACACTGCTCTGCCCCATTGATCGCTCGCTCACTGACCTCACCTTTCCTGATGTACTCATTTTGTAAGTATTTATGCCAGCTGCTATGATTTAGCTTGGATATCAGCAGAATTACATATGCATGGATTTACACCTTGAAGTTCAGGTAGTTCAAGTCAACTGTACCATGTGTTTAATGGTGTTACTCCATCTCTCTATATGACTGCTGGGGTTTTGCAGTCTTTTGTCTGTTATCCCAGTTGTACATCTTTTGATGCAGAACACTCACTGCACTTGTTACTGGAACATTACATACCAAATGAAACAACAACCTATAAAGACTGAGATAAAGATGCATGTTAAAGTTAGTAATGAAATAAAATATTGTAGAATGTATTCCACCATATTCTGTAATTCTTTGTTATTTTTCATAAATCTATATCACATTTCAAATTCTGACGTTACTGTTTCATACTGTATTATAAATCCCGTTAACGCACTTTTTGTTCTTCATCTTCTCATTATATCTGGCATTTTGGAGGTTCTAAAGCAGTGTATGAGATTCCTGGTGGATGTAGCTGTTTTGACACTGTGAAGCCACAATAGTGATATTATCATTAAATAACCAACTTAAAAGCAATGGTTGTTTTGTAATACCCCTCTGTTTTGTTATGATTACAGCAATCAGATTCCTTCTGACTTTGAGTTCCGGCTGGAAGTGTACAGTCATATACTTCAGGATGACATGAGCATAGCCAGTACACCCCGCAAGATCAAGAAGACAATCCACAGCTCAATTAGTCGAACTGTTGGAAAGAAACTTGCCGCTTCCCTTCGTGATGAACTCAACACTGGCAAGATGTGAGTCTGATAGGTATTTTATTAGCTCTAGGTTTCCTGTACATGTATCAGAAGAATAACCGGTAGGATTCCTTTGTATTATCATTACTTTCTGGAAAGTTTGTGTGCTGGTCATTTAAATATTATGCTGATTTAGGAGTTGAGTGCATAAAGAAATAAAAACATTGTAGTCAGTTACTTAAATTGACTTTAATATCTAATAAACACATTCAGTTATATTACTTTTACTTACTTAATTTGTAGAGGTCCACACTTCGAACTGATGGCTACAGCTCGATTGTCGCTGGACGAAGTTCATGACAGCATTCATACACATGACATGCAGGTAGAAAACTTAGGTGAGTCAAGGTGATGTTAGTTGACATACAGTTACAAGATCTCTTATATTTTCAGATATTTATATTATATCTGCTAAACAAGCTGGAAGGACATGGGTTCAAGTCCTGATGAGGGCATTGGGTTTTTTCAATTGACATAATCCTTCCAGCCACACTATGGCCCTGGGGTCAACTCAGCCTCTAACAGAAATGAGTACCAGGAATATTCTTGAAATATTCTTGGGGGTTGGGGGTAAAGGGCGGCCGGTGCATAAGGCTGACAACCTTACTGCCATCTATGAGCCAATCGTCTAGAAAATGTGGGAACCTCAACATCTCGCAACCCTGTGGGCCTCCACGGCCTGTTACAGGGATACCTTTACTTACTTTTACTTACTTAAATACCATGAACCTAAAATACAGAAAGAGAAGATGCAAGCAGAGGTTTGCAGTTTCTGAGGAGCTGTACCTACAGTTTGTTGCTCAAGTGCTTTGTGTAGAAACTGCCCATGACTGGCACAAGCAGTGATCCCATGGTGACACCATCTATACAGTCACAAAATATGTCATTGTAAAGGAAGAAAGCTGATGATAGAACATGCTGGAAAAGATCTGAGGTTTCACTGTTGCAGTGTTGATCTGGTAGTTTTAGAGTTTTCTCAAATCAAACCTTGGTGAACAGTGAGGTACATAAAAGCTGACTAGGGGGTGAGTTATCTGTAGTTTAATGGCTTTTTTTTTTTTTTTTTTTNNTTTTTTTTTTTTTTTTTTTCTTTTTTTAAGAAGCCTTCAGAATTTGTGATGTCCAGGAACTCACTCTGTTCCTAGATGTTCAGCCAGGAAATATGTTGGTGAGCCGATGCTGTAGGTCTCAGTCTTTCTGTGTGGGTATTATGTTTTATCTGAGCAGAAAAGCAGTTTGTCTAAGGCTCAGAAGCTTTGATCCTGTAATCATTCATCTCACATTTGTCATACTGCACAGTCCTGCAGCAACTTGATGACAAAGTGGACATATTTTCTTGTTATTGGGATTATTGTGTTTTTCGACTTTGCCATCATCTGGTGTTCTAAAGACAACATTTCAGAAACTGAACCTGTTACTGTCCTCAGATGGAAAGGTTGAAGGCATTTACTCACTTGGGTCTGTTAGAAAGAGGTAACCTCAATCATTGAACAATTTGTGTCGGTGTCACTACAACTGTATATTCACCTGAGATCGGGTTTTCTCAGTGGGTGATAGGAGGAAATTTTACAATAAAAATTGTGAAAGTTCATATATAAAAACCTGAGACTAAGATAGAAGGGGAATAATTTGTTCGGTATGTGAATATGATTTCAGAAAACCGCAGTCACCAACTGCCTTTGTTCGGGCACTTCTGCTGCCGCTTAGCTGCCCAGCCTGACTGTGTGTCACAGGAGAGCTGCTCAGGAGATCTGACTGTGCTAGATGGTGGCACAGGCAGGCAGTGGGTTTTCATGTGGGGCCAACTGCAAGCCTTTCGTCTTGACTTGTGGGCCAAGCGCGAACACTGGGAACAAGGCCAAGACCCTGGTAGATCCATCACTGTGGACAGGGTTAGTGAAACTCACTTTGATGACCAAACCTATACCAGCTGCTAGTTACTTCAAATTATGTCAAACTCAGAATATCGGAAGTTGTGTTGCCTTCACGAGACACACTACCTCTGACTCATGTTGTCCCTTTTGGTCTTTGGTAGGAACAGACCTCATCACCACTGTAGAGGGAATTTAGGCTTGGTGGCAAAGAATTTTCTCTTTCCTCCCTTAAACATCAGCTTAGCAGACTTCACTGATATATTCAAGTATTAGCAGTGCAGAAGGTAAGGTAAAAGTTGCAACACAATAATAAACCGGGGTTCCTAATAAAATACATAAAGCATACTCTTATTTCAGGCAAATCTACAGAGCATATGGTGCTATTGCCCCCCCTTTTTTTTTTGAGGGGCTGGACTCCTTCTGGTCTCCAGAAAGTGGAGCTGTGTATCATCATTTTACCCGCATTTTCTTTCTGAACTGTTGTGCATTGTGTTAATTGTGAAAATATCAAAAGTTTGACATAAATTCATTCTTGTGTTGTAATTGCAGGAAACTGTGATACAGCCTAGTAAAACAGTAACTAAGGAAATCAGAATATCTAACTTCTGTGAGGGTAAGGAAGATATTTCAGTGATTAGAACAAAAACAACGGATGATCAGCAGAGGTGGTTAAGATTTCTTGTTCAGCATGCCAAGGATCATCTCAGGTTAGTCAGCTCTGTACATCCCACCCTCTCCTTTCCTTCCCAGTATGCAATGTGATCTTTTTCTTTCCTGCATTCTCTCACTGGACCATGATTACAGCCAGAGTCCTGACTGTTCCAGCAGGAGGTTTTCTTGGTTAACATCAGCCCTTTATCAGCATGGCAGTAATACTTTTAAATGGGTTAGGGAAACTTCCTTCCCTTTATTTTCCAGTTTGGAATACATATCATTTCATCAGAGCTGGGATAACTCAGTTGGTATAGCAACTGATTACAGGCTGGGTGGCCAAGGAATCAGGATTCAGGTCCCAGCAGGTGCAAGAGATTTTTCTCTTTGTACATTGTGCAGACCAGCTGTGGGGTCCACCCATCTTACATACCAGGGATTATTTCCTGGGACATCAAGCTGACCACTCACCTCCATTTAGTGTGGAGGTTAAGAATACATGGATCAATACATCTACTATCCTACATGTCTTCATGGTGTGGTGGTTGATTGATCACAAGGCAGCTTCACCATTAGTCATCTCATCTGATGTTACATAACCTCTGCAGCTGATACAACATTGTTAAATAAACTTTAATCTTCTCTATAAATGAAGGCTTACAGAAGTTTAGATTACATTACAATGTGTGAATGTAGACTTAATTTTTATAGAAATCTTCAAATACTCAGAAATATTAGTGCCCTGGATTTGACTGTAAACAGTATGTTATCTGTACAGGTGGAAGCATGCAGCTGAAAAAATTATGGAAATCCAATCACCTGGTTCAGCAAGACATTCCTTCACCCGACAGCTGCGCGGAGGATCTCTCTATGATGAGACACCTCTGATAGGTATGATAAATGGTTTAAATTAATTCATTCTTGTAGTTTTCTTCAGTTGATGCTGGTATAAATTTATGAAGATATTTTTCATTCTCAGTTTACAATAACAAGCACAAAACGAAGTACCTGCTTTTAAATGAAGCAGTTTAATGTTCGTAATGGAGGTCTTAGGGCACTACAGCATCAAAATATGTTGCATCAGATCATGAATGAAAAATCAGTTTTTATTTCCAAGGACAGTGTAAGATGTCTGCGTAATGACACAAAATATAACCACCTTCCTCTTACAGATAGCAGTACCTCAGTGCTCGGCTATGTAGAATGCTGCTATTTAGAGTTCATGAAAGCCATTTCCTATAAAACTATGTCAGAATATACTGGCAAAAGAACAGTAATGAAAATTCTTTGAACAGAAAGTAATCTGTCATTTTGCAGCTTTCAGTGCAGATGATACAACAGACTCAGATGGATCAATAAAATTAGTGTTTACAGTATCTCCACTTTCGCCTAAAATCTGACTTTTTTGATGCAGAATCTGTATCCACTGACTATCATCGACCAACAGTGCAGGAAATATTTGGAATGACTCCATCAACAAGTCTGAGCTCATGTGCCTCCTCCTCTTCCTCACCTACATTTCGAGAGCGTTCACATAGCTCAGGGGGTAGCAACAAAGGAAGGCTGGCTGGAGGAACTGTTCGAACCCACTGGCCATTTTCCCGGAGCAGCCAAGATTGAACCAGTTGGTTCCTGCATCATTTAATTACATTTCAGGGGGGTTTGATTGTGTTGCTGTTTGTAATACCACACTGAGCACCATGCAAGGAACTAATATGCTCAAATGTTTATTTATCCCTAATTTAAAAGCACTTGTAGTTTTCAAGCCGAAGTATTTTGAGAAGTGTTCCAACTATTGTACACGTGTTTTGTATTTGGTTTTGGAATTTAACATAATCTACTGGCGTGTGTATTGTATTTGTGTGGATGTCAAGTGATGGTAAGTGCTTAGAACTGAATAAGACAATTAAGGCAATAGATTGCTCTTATAAAATAAAGTTAAAAAAGACAACTGAATCCAGATTTGTGATTTACTTGATGTTTCTCATTTTGATAGGAATGTAAATTAAATGTCTTTTTATATAAATGTGTTTAAATAAGTATTTAAATGTATGCAATGCAGAGATAATGCAACTAGTAAACTAAGAGAAACTGTATTTAGTATAACTATAACCTGATTGAATGTTACTGGAAATATCCTTTTTTTTTTCTTTCTTTTGTCATTAATATTAGCCATTGCATGTTAAAAGGAATCTGTCTAATTAAAATTGTACTGGAAATGCTAGTTCATTGGACTTATTGTGATCTACATTTATAAGTGCAGTTTTGTTTTAGAGATCATTTTGGAAATCTTACAGGTATTAGTGTTCTGGTCAAATGTGAGTGATCATGTGTACATTCTGAATAAGTGTAAAAAGAATTTTTTCCTCCATTCTTGTTCTTTATTAAGGACCACATACCAATTTCAGTTAATATTCCTTGGCACTACAGCCCCAGTGGGCCTAGGCCTACCTCCATGAACTTCTCTGTTCACTTCGGTTTTTCTAGATCTTACACATTCGGTAGGACTCCTTGGGTGGTTGATCAGCTTGTCGCAAGGCCTCTACCTGTACACAAACACAGAAAAACGCACACACACAAACTAAACATCCGTGCCCTGAGTGGGCTGCGAACCCACGATCCTGGTTTCAAAGTGAGCAAAGACAGTACATGCCTTAGACCGCTTGGCTACCGTGACTGGCTTCAGTTAATATTACATGTCAGTATTCTGCTTCTATTCAATCAATACTTTCGACCCTAAGTTACTCCTATAATCCATTTCACCTATGGATTTTTTTGTGTGGTTGTGAGACTTTATATTGTCAGATGTTAGAATGATTATAGATGGGATGTGGGTTGGTAATTGGATTTATTGCACACTTATTCAACTTGTTGCTACACTTCACAAATCACTGTTGCACACAGACTAGTGCTGTTAGTCTGTTACAGTCTCCACTGGTCATTTCCTGGTAATAGTCTTCTAACTGTGGAGATTCTTCAGCTTCTGTGCTCACTTTTTTGCCTGCTGGCTCTCAACTGCACTGACAAAGACTTGTCTTCACGTACTCGCAACTGAGCACTTCCCTCGTTGCTCCGAATCATCCCGGTTATAACATATGGGCCTGGACCACATAAGAAACATCATTCCTCTGCTGCCCAGCAACAGGCACTGTTTCATGGCCATTACCCAGCAATGGGTCTACATGCTACAATATCATCATGATCATCATCATCATCATCATCATCAGTAATCTGTCAGACGACAGGTACACAGTCTCTTCCAAAACAATTCCTCCACTTAATGCGATCTAGAGCTTTCTCCTTCAAATGACAGTATCCTCTTCTGTCCCCAAGGTCATCCAGCATCTTCTTACGTCTTCTTCCCACTTCTATCCGCGCATCTATCTTTCCTTCAGTAACTTCTTCTAGAAGGCAGTTTCTGCGTAAAACATGACCAATCCAATTAGCCTTCCGTTTTCTTATTTCGTGTAGGATATTCCTCGCTCACTGACTCTAATTAACACTTCATTTCTCATATAATCGGTCCAACTGATCTTCTCCATCCTTCTCCAACAGTACATTTCAAAACTTTTCAGATGTTTCTGATCNTACTGCCCTAAGTGTCCATGTTTCAGCCCCATACAGAGCTATGCTCCAAATGTAGCATTTCACTAGTTTCTTCCTCAAATTTATGTCCAATTTGCTGGTAAAAAGATTCTTCTTCTTGCTAAGTGCAGCTTTTGCCATGGCAATCCTGGATTTAATTTCACTAGTACACCTTCCATCATCTGTTAACAAGCTACCCAAATATTTAAAACATTTCACATTCTCCAGTTGTTTTTGGTCTATCTTTATTGTGACTGGGGTTGGTTGTCTCGAAATCACAATATCATATGTCTGAAAGTTACGCTATTAGAGGTCGCCTGTCTGAGGCTTTGAAGTCTTTCTGTTGAACAGCAGTGGGATTCTTTTTCAGGAATCAATAATCGTACATTTGGACATGTTTGAACCAATTACTTACTTATTCATGGAGCTGAGCCCTTCTGGAGGAGCCGCCATTTCTGCAGCTAGTCAAGAATTTCCCACCATTTTATGAAACCTGAAGGTTCATCACTGTGTTCACAAGAGCCTTCCACCGGTCCCTATCCTGAGCCAGATCGATCCAATCCATCCTATATCTCTAAGATCCATTTTAATATTGTCCACCCACCTATGCCTTGGTCTTCGCAGTGGTCTCTTTCCTTCTGGCTTTCCCACCAATATCCTATAGGCATTCCTCTTCTCCCCCATTCTTGCTGTTTTTATACACATGGGGTCCCCCCTCCCCCACTCTTTAATTGGTTTGCATGCACAATTAAAAGTCCCAAAAAGGATAGCTTGCATGGCTTTCTAACCTGTACCTTATTATTAGTTTGCTGTCAGAGATCACTAAAACTAAGAGAATCCTTACTTACTCGTAGAGCTGAGCCCTTCTGGAGGAGCCGCCAATTTTGCAGCTACTCAGAATTTCCCAGCGTTTTATGAAACCTGAAGGTTCATCACTATGTTCACAAGAGCCCTCCACTGGTCCCTATCCTGAGCCAGATCAATCCAATCCATACCATCCCACCCTTTCTCTCTAAGATCCATTTTAATATTGTCCACCCACCTATGCCTTGGTGTTCCCAGTGGTCTCCTCGGACCTGGACGGATTCCTTGGATAAACGACCGAAAACTAAGAGAATATAAAATAATATTTTTTCCAATTGATAAAAGTCCCAATATGTTGCTTGGAATGTATAACTGTATAGTATAACACAGCATTTCTTAGCTTCATATCTGGCAGGTTCAACTATACGCTGAAATCTGTGCTTCCATTTGAAAGAGAAAGAAAATACAGTTGTGTAAGTACTACTAGATATGCAGTTGCATTTCTGCAGTGCTTGTCTTCTGGACCACAATTTGCCACTGAAAATCATCCCTTTTGCCTTTTAACTCCAATAGCAACTGCATGTCTGTCACTCGCAGTACCATAAATAAAATGCACGTGTGGATCAAAGGAATATTTCCATAGCCTTTTGAGTAACAAACTCTCTGAATACGCTTCAGAACTTGGAACAGAGCAATAGGAAATAGAAGTTTAGTACTGATATAAACAGTATGAGATACTGTAGAAATATTAAAGGGTTTCCGCAGAGAAAACTGCTGCTCAAAACACAACACTTTGTGTCACGCAAGGCACTCACAGATCAAGATGTAATCCATATCCCAGTTGTCTTACAGGAGTAGAACTCAAAGGAAGTTTAACTGTGACTTAAAATGACTAGTAAAATGAAAAAATGAATCATTGAGGGACAAGAAGAAGCACTGGTATTAGCAGGGCTTTGGAAATATGCTTGCCTTGGTGCCAAAGACAAGCTAAGATAGACCTGTGATGTACAGCGATATTCTTGTCTGAAGTATATTGAGTCTGTGGGTGGAGTAGATTAAGTGTACTTGGACTTTGAAACCCTGCTGATGATCATGAAAATGATGTTGAGGACACCAGCAATAACAGTAAGCAAGTAATTTGGTACTCGCAACTATCAGGCTGTTTGTTGTGAATCACAATGCAGTCTCTTCTTATCCTAATGTTATTGTTGTGAGTACTTTATCTATTTCTTGATGCACAAATAGCGTTATTTATAGTGTCCATAGCATAAAAAGGGTAATATCCTTAAAAACCTTGCCGTGAATACATATGGGGGAGTGGAGACATGGTTCATTGCATTCTTAACTTCAGCACCAGATTGAGTTCTAGTTTCACACACCAGTCACCTTATCTCTGATAAAAAGAGTCGCCCATGGTACCCACTGGACAAATTGCCCCAAGACCTGGTTTGCATGCAATGTTGAAGAAAAATCTCTTACCCCTGGTTGGGATTACTCCCCAGTTCCTCAGTTGTTGAGCCCACAGCCTATTACTATTCTATCTGGGATGTTCCAGTTCACAGCATACATCCAACATAACTCATTTATTACTGGCCACTTCCAACAGTCTTCCTAATAACTTGGCAATGTTGCCTTTTGCAGGCTGCAGTATAGGCACTTGTTGCAAATGATACGGGTGGACTATACATTTGCAGGCATAAATGTGTCTCCCTGCCAATATATACACGCTGACGCCAGCTTCATCCTCAAGCATCATTTCCTCTTTCCAACTTAACAGTCTTAGCAAAAGTCCCTCAGTTTCACTTTGAAACATACCTGAAGACTTTCTTCGTGTATACAGTGTGATGCAGGAATTTTTGTTGAAAACATCTTGCACTTTGTATATGTGGTGTTAACACCACATATGTGGTTAACACCACATATACACGGTGCCAAATCCCAGAAGACTGCTTTCTTCATAGTCACCGCCGTGAAAGCCTCAAATCTTACATCTTGCACTTTAATCTTGTTCACCTACTTGTGTTTGATATGAGATCATGCCATTGGCACAGAATTGGCATACTCAATTGAGCAAGATGAATAAATGTGATGATTTGATTTTGACATCAAAATTGTGGACTGCCCTACATCACCATTCTTAGCTGTAGCAAAAAAGATGTCACATCAGGCCTTTGATTTACCAGTAACAGCACCGTCTGTAGTTAGGAAGAGAGCAGCCATAACTTGTTAATGGATGTTACCTTCCCAGACTTTTTCCTTTATCTCCTTTAATTAACTAGGTTAGTAAGTGGATTTAACTAGCACAGTATTTCCAGTGATGGGCTTTGGTATTGATTCTGTTGCTGGACAGAAGTTTGTCTGTCACATAGTGTGTCAATAATAGACAGTTTTAAGTCTCTAACATAAAACACATGCCTAGACTTCAAATATAAACTGCTCACTTGAAACAAGTTTTGTATCTAATGTGTGGTCACTTTCTCCTTCAAAAATATTAGATTTATTAATTCTTTCCCTCTTGGGAAAGTGATTCCTGGCTTATTTGATGACACTTTCTAAACTGAATGGGTTACACATCAAACAGAATTATTATGAATTTTAAGTTATTGTCCCAGCATTTTCCTGGGAAACCATAAGAAACCTGAGCATAGCTACTCCAGAGGTTATCATAACCATAAATCTCTCAAATATGAAGCAGTTCAACTATGACATCACATTAATACTCATCTTACAAGAATGTTTTATGCAAAATGAAGCAGCTGCTGCTATTTCACCATTTAAAACTCATATTTTGAATGAAGAACGTGAATCTAAACACATCTGATTAGACATTACTTTTTGTACATCTGGTACATAAATGACTATTCAGAAAATACATGAGTGTCTATATTACCAAGTTCATGATAAAGTTTAACAAAAAAAATCCATGGTTTTTGTTCGTAAGCGAATTATACCGACCATGCGACCGCCTCTTCTCAGCAAAGTTAAAGCCAACTTTAGTGGACAGAGGGTGTTGCGTGGTAACCGCAACGAATCCCCATGGCCATTAATTTTGGTTTTCTATACCGGAGCCTCTATTTTCTTGAAATAGCTCCTCAGTTATCCTCACAAGGCTGAGTGGACCCCGTTCCAGACCCACTACTTCTCAGAAAATCTAGTAGTGCCGGGAATTGAACCTGGGACCTCTGGATCTGTGGGCAGGAACTCTGACCACTAGCCCACAGAGGCGGATAAAAATATAATGAAAAGTCAGTTACACTGTTGAGGGTATCAACAAACTTACAATGGTGATATGCAGTAAGAAAGGACTAGACAAGAATTAATATAGCTTTTTGTTTGATGAGCCAGTTAAAAGACTGAAGAGGAGGTAGGACACTATGTAGGAAAATCAGTCGTAAACTGGACTGAGGATCAAGTCTGATGGAGAACTTTCGTTGAGCTTAACAGGGTTGAACCTTCAGGTTACATCATTAGACAGTAGTAACGCACAGTATACAGGTAGAAAAATGAAGGATCCAATATATCAAACTGTTACAAAAAAAATGGGTAGTGGTAGTCCTCAACAAAAAAAAAAAAAAGACCCACTAACACACATGGAAGACAGAACATTTGCAGTGTAGATAAAACTGTTTTATGTACATGTGCATATACTTGAGATCTTTTGAATACATTTATAAATACAATGTTGAAGGTGATTGTCTCGTGTATTTTATCCAGCATATCAGAGACACATCGGTGAACATGTATCAGACTACATGACTTCACACTCGAAAAGACAGCTACTTCACAGTCATCATCACGAGAACCTCAACTCAGATACCTCTACAATGTTACCTTCTGAAAGTAAAAACAATTTATGTGACATGCCATCGTTGAAAAATAACTGAAGTGAAGAAAACCGTCTTCTGGGATGTGGCACCATGTAGATATTGTATTAACCGACATTTCGGAGGAACTTATCGCCTCCATCTTCAGGGTAGAAGAAAAATTCACGAGCAAGGAACCAGCGTGGGCAGGTGCTGACAGACTAATGTCAAGTCGAATAAACCCAGCCATGTAAGAGCAGGAAGAACCAAAACATTGGTTAATACAATATCTACATGGTGCCACATCCCAGAAGACTGCTTTCTTCATAGGCACCTCTGTGAAAACCTCAAATCTTACAATAAATGAAGTGTTTTTTTAATATATCTGTGTACAGTCACAATGTAAGTAAAGAAACATAAGTTCTTAAATCAAAACTGGTACAGTTGCTACATTCATTATGTTACATTTTTAGTGTGAGGTAAAACATGAGATGTACAATAATACACATAGTGATGAGTGACATCACCCTGTGCTGCGTGTTGCGCTAATTCCAATTCCTACTATCAGTGCCACAACTGTAAAACCCTGTGCGGCTATTCGTACTCTCATCATATACTGAGACATCTGACGTCTTCCCTGCCTAAAGCTCCACAGACCATACGACAGGGCACTGAATGTTGCCAAGCAACCTGAAATTAAAATCATGTCACTTTTTATTAAACTACTGTGTAAAGATTATATTGAATAAGCTATAGTGGTACCATCAATACAGTGTGATAAACCGAGTGGTTACAGTTATATTCATGGAAGTAGTATTATAACATCTTTCCTAACCTTCAGGACCAGAATGCTCTGTAGCCCCACCCTTCTATCCATTGCATCAAGGGCTCTCTCCACAAGAGCAATGTGACAAGACCTTGAAGCTAACTACTCTGTGCCATCAATTAAAATACAGATCTATCTGGAACTCAGTCCTCCTCTTTAAATGCCTACTTGCAGCATAGTCTCTTGTCTAGTGTTTGATGTGATACATAAAGCACCTAATTCTATGTTTCCATATTTTCAATACGGTGGGCCTAGAAACAGGGCCTCAATACCCAAATTAAAAAATTTTTAAGTGTCTTTGATCAGATATATTAATTTGGATATATGGTATGAATCTCCATGATATTCCAACATACTGACATTACTGCAACAGAACTTCTACATTGCCGCGATTGCCCATATTCTGGTATACAAGTGATATTTACTGTACTTCAGCTGGCTAAACTCTGCTGCATCTTGATTACTACATCAAACTTAAATGTAACTAAACATTATTGTACACACCTACAGGTAATTCGCTGACACACCTGATATAAATAAATACTGCGAACTACTTATCAGTGAACAACGTACAGTCATTAAGGGATATCTAAGAGGATGCGCCACCATGCTGTGCTGGCTAGATATCAACGTTTCGGAAGAACTTGCTGCCTCCACTTTCAGGGTTCAAGATCAATTCTGCTTCTCAAAATTTCGGACTTGGTTTCAAATATGCAACTGGTGGCGGGCATCGCTTATACAACTTTATTATTCCTTTAAAAATAGAAAATATTTTGAAGTCAATCTGAAGGTTAAGTTGAAGTTGTGTAAATACCTATTGGAACAAATGGATTTTCTTTCACTTTCCGAAGAAATTTGTCTTGGGTTGACTCGTCAGGATGTTGAGCATGAATTTCATCATGAAGTACCAACCAATCAAATTCTGGTTCCTTCTCTTGCTTTGGTAACTCAGACATCACCTACCTCCACAATCAACTAAGCTGACAAACGCTGACGAACGTTATTTCGCTTTCATTTGTCAAATACATAGGCACGGATTATTAAGTACGTAAGTTCGTGATTCCACCACAGTAGCGCACACCACACGGATTACTAAATTCAGAGCTTGAGTGCAAAAGGGTTTTGTGAAGTTTGTGAATGACTGAAATGCAATTGGAATTCAGTTTTTGTTTTGTACCCAACATTTTGCTCAGATTCTAACATAAAGTGGTTAAAAATATGTTGACGTCGTATTTTTGATCTTACGTACAAGTAGTCCCACATAGTCGGAATGTTGTGTAACGTATACGAATCTGGAGTTACCTATGTAGTGCATGGTTTTATATTATTACGGCACGGTAATTAGTTATTCAGAAAGTTTACCACCAGAATACGTAATAATATTAATTTAATAAGTACATGAGTTACTAGAAATCGTTTTTTGAAATATTGTTAAAATGATGTTTAAATCTTCTATTCCGCAGTAGCCGTGATCGTCTAGTGGTTAGGACATTGCGTTGTGGCCGCAATAACCCAGGTTCGAATCCTGGTCACGGCAGTGATGAACCAACATCATGGGTGGATAATTTTTTTTTCCTTTTTATCAAGTGGTATTTTACGTATATTCAGCAGCCGTGATCGTTTAGTCGTTAGGGCAATGCGTTGTCGCCGCAATAACCCAGGTTCGAATCGTGGCCACGACGGTGGTTTAAACACTATCACGGGCGAGTACTGTTTCTTTAACAATTAGTATTTTATGCATTTTTATCATTCTTTCAGTGATTTTGTTTAAGCAGTTAATTCAAGGCATTATTAAACGGCCAGTAGTTTAATGGCGGACTTTTCGATTAGCAGTGTTAAAAGTTATCAGGTATTAGGCTCATCTGATTAGTTGCTTGGTATATTGAACACAAGTGCGTCAGCTAGTTCTTAAATGTTCTTCCTTCAGATGAACTAACAAATTTGTTTCATTTGCCCATTCATGAACTTCTAAGTTATTCAGTTTCGCCACTGCGTAATTCTGCATTTGTGTTTAAAGGACACTCTATACGCGGGGAAATAAAACATTGCAGGTACAGAGATGCTCCATGAAATTTATCTTTTACTTGACAGAATGTTTATATCTTCTTGCAAAACACGTATACATAAAATGTATCATACGCAGGCTATTCATGTATGCATCTTTCTTTGCAAGTTCTGTTAGCAGTACACACTTTGTAAGTATAAGGATGCTTGCCAAGAGTGCGTTTATTTTGGCGGTCCATTTTGGCAGCGTTTCTAAATTTAACTGCAGTTCTCAAGGTGATCATGCAGTACATGTTGACTCACAGTCAGTTCACTGCGGATGTTATTGGTATAACGAACAGCGTGCTCTTTCTGCCACATATTGCGTTTTAGGCAGATTACAATAAATTCTTGAGTAAAGTGTAGCGTAAGATCAAATTGTATCCGGATATTAGCACATTGTTATTATTATTATTATTATTATTATTATTATTATTATTATTATTATTATTATTATTATTATTATTATTGTCATCTCTTGTCACAGGTTTATTTCCTGGTATTCCTTTTCTTGAACCAGTGATGCACCTCACCACTCAGGCTTCAAGCTTCACA